ACGGGACGTCCCCCCGATTGCCTGCGAGCTTCTCCTCCTGTCTGTACGGTCATTTCTGTACAGCGCGACAGAGAGTCGAGTGGTTATGACGCAATCGTTAGCCTATTTTTACTAAATCTGTTTCTACGGGGCCATAATGTAACATAGAAGGTAATGGAGACCTTTATACATTGTCGTGTTTCTTTAGAAATAAATAATGGACAAATGGAGTCTTTAAACGCCTCAGATGTAAAGTTATTCGCTGTCAAAGTGACGCCAAAATGAATGGGAGTCAATGGAAATGCTAACGCAAGTGAAGTTCTGCTACAACATGGCGGCACCCGGCCGGCTTCAACTTCCGGTCGATGGATTACCCCCTTGGTGACGTACAAGCGCGAGAGATCACTTCCGGCGCTTTCCGGAAAAGACCGAAGCGCCATCAGATCACTTGGACGTGGCTATGTTTACAAGAGGTAAAAACGATATAAATACTGTTCGTTTTCTCACACAAACTGCTCGTTTCGTGTCTTAGGCCATCAATGTGTACTTACATTTACGAGTCATTAAGTCATGTTTAATTTGGACTTCTCTGTGCATGCTCTTTGAGGAAGTTACCATAGACCTGCATTATATGACTGACAGACAAGAACGGTTTGACCTAAAAATATCAAAATTGAAATTACTGCGGAAACAAAGACACCTACATCTTGGATGCCCTTGAGGTAAGCTAAAACATACCAAAAATTTATTTCAAAGTGAACTATCCCTTTAACCAGAGAGAGACAGCGAGCGAGCGAGAGGGAGAGAGCGCGCACATATGCGAGCGAGTAACCTAATTTTGAAGCTTGTTGGTTTAATTACAGCAAAGTTATCACCTCATTGCTGAGAAATATAATGTTGCTTTCAGTAGTGAACCTGTTTTATTTGTAAAAGTCACGGGCAGAGGTTGAAAACCTGAATCTGTGTTCGCGCAATTTCTTTTCTTTGCAAAGATAAATATAAAGTTCCCGCTTCAATAAAAAGCTGTGAGCGGGCGTATACAGGCACGCCTGCCTCATAATACAACATTAAAAAGCTATCTTTGTGAATAAACGTGTCGTCCTCGACTTGTGGTGGCTTGGAATTCAAAGGGGAAGCAGATATGCGTGTTTAGACGTAGGTCGGATGTCCAGATATCGGATATGTATCTGATTTAAAACCACATTTGGAAGTGGCTTAGATAGGATGAGAAAAAATTGGATCTCGAGTGGATTTTTGTGTTAACACGTGTGCAACAAATTCTGATCTGTGTCAGATGTGAGTAAAAGATCGGATTTTTCGTGCCAGTGTAAACACAGCCTCAGTTTCCTCAGCGTCTGGCCTTGCACAATGAGTACAGACCCATTTCCGTGATCTCCTGATTGTGCCATGCCTGTATATGATTTTTAGCATATTTACCTTGATTCTCTCTCATGTGTCTTCAAGTATGTTGTTCTCTCCTGCAAGACTCACCAGCATGCTGTACTCCATCATTATACTGAGGTGTGTGCTCCACTGGACTGCCAACCATCACCATCGGTAATACAAAGACTTTCATTCAAATCATTCAACCATCCATTAACTGCCATAACCAATATCTACTCACCTGTTTGTTCCCTGTACCCACTCTGATCCAATAAAGTTGATCCTGATCAAGATCCTAACAGAAGGCCAGACCAACCAAAATGGACTCAGTGGGAGATAATCTGTGCTCCATCGTTCAGAATGGCTAGGCGATCGAATTCTGGATGAATTCCTTCAATATTGCCACCTTTCAACCTGGAAGGATCAACAGTTGATGGAGCTGTTTTGGTGTGGGCTGGACCCACACATAGCATGGATACCAGTGGGTGACTCTTACTTCATCCTTGAAATTGATTTAGATATGGTGCTTGGGATGTGTGGCTCCCCCTACACAGTTTGTGATGTGTGCGAGCCAACACTTATGTCTGTACCTATGGGATTTTCAGATTATGGTGAGCTTTCGTCCTCAGCATCTAATCTTTCCAACTCCAAGTCAAGTCAAGTTAAGTCACCTTCATTTATAAAGCGCTTTTAACAGTATGGATTGTTTCAAAGCAGCTTTACAGTTATAATAGAAATTACCGTAACTGATTGTTTAGGCTTTACAACAGCATTAGGATAAAAGTTATTGTCCAGCTAAAGTTAGTTTTGATTGATTCACTTCCGTCGCGAAGGTCATTAGTTATTAACTTAGGGGCCTGCTAATACGACACCGTTCTTACAAAAAAACTCTTAACGCGCTCCGGCCGCCCATCCGCACAAAACAGTGCCTGGTGTCTCGAGAGCGCACTCCCTGAAATAGGTTTGAAGGTGCAAAAGATTATCCGCTATCTCTGCGCAAACCTCAAAAACTCAAACCTGCGTAAACGCAGACGGCGCGCACATGCGCATCACGTATTCAGTCCATAGGTATGCACTTTGAATATATATATGCGCAGGCGTGTAGTCTTTCACAAATCAACCCTCAACAAAATACTTGTCTGGTCTTAAAAATGTATAATACAGAATTATCCCGACAATGTTTTAACTGTACAGAGGTAAAGGGAGGGAGGCCTTCACAGGGGAGAGACTAGTTGACACTTCAGGACTGCTTTGTCGTCGTGTCCATGCGCTGGTCATTCATCGGATCTGAATATAGCCTGGATCCGGCGGACTGCGGTAAACCTCGGGATAAACAGAGAGACTAATATTAGCGTAGACGCCATCCTTCTTGTAAACCAAGTACATCAGGATTTATGGGAAGTGTTCCCGGTTCCTGATCTAAACTATGCAGCCTAACATTGAATTATAGAAGTCTATAATGTGTTATGTGTATGCTAGGCCAAAGAGATGTGTTTTTAGTCTAGATTGAACTGACAGACTGTCTCCGCTTCTCGGACAATGTTAGGAAGATTGTTCCAAAGTTTTGGTGCTAAATAGGAAAAGGATCTACCCCCAGCAGTTGATTTTGATATTCTAGGTACAGTATTATCAACTGGCCGGAATTTTGAGATGGGAATAGACGTGAAGGACTATAATGGTTTAAGAGCTCGCTCAAGTACTGGGGAGCTAAACCATTTAGTGCTTTGTAAGTAATCAGCAATATTTTAAAATGTATACGATGTTTAATAGGGAGCCAATGCAGTGTTGACAGAACCGGGCTAATATGGTCATACTTCCTGGTTCTGGTAAGAACTCTAGCGGCTGCATTTTGGACCAGCTGTAGCTTATTTATTAAACGTGCAGGGCAACCACCCAGTAGAGCATTACAATAATCTAGCCTTGATGTCATGAACACATGAACTAATTGCTCTGCATTTTTAATTGAGAGCATATGACGTAATTTAGATATATTTTTAAGATACTAGACATGTGACTTTCAAATGGAAGATTGGTATCAAAGAGCACACCCAGGTTCCTAACTGACGACGAAGACTTGACAGAGCAGCCATCAAGTGTTAGACGGTATTCTAGGTTATTACGTTATTTGTCCAATAACTAGAATCTCTGTTTTTTCAGAATTAAGTAGTAGGAAATTGCTAGTCATCCAGTTTTTTATATCAGCTATGCCTTCCGTTAATTTTGTGAATTGGTAAGTTTCGTCAGGGCGTGAAGAAATATAGAGCTGAGTATCATCAGCATAACAGTGAAAACTAATGCCATGCTTCCTAATGATATCTCCTAAGGGTAGCATGTACAGAGTGAACAGCAACGGTCCTAGTACTGAGCCTTGTGGTACACCATCCTGAACTTTTGACCGATAAGACATCTCTTAATTTACTGCTACAAACTGATAACGGTCAGATACGTATGATTTAAATTATGCTAGTGCAATTCCACTAATGCCAACATAATTTTCGAGTCCATTTAAAATAATGCTGTGGTCGATAGTGTCAAATGCAGCACTAAGATCGAGTAACACTAATAGAGAGATACAACCACGATCGGATGATAAGAGCAAATCATTTGTGACTCTAATGAGAGCTGTCTCAGTACTATGATAAGGTCTAAATCCTGATTGAATATCCTCACAGATACCATTTCTTTCTAAAAAAAGGAACATAGTTGTGAAGATGCTGCCTTTTCAGCATCTTTGGCAGAAAAGGTAGATTCTAGATCGGCTAATTCTGTAGGATCAATTTGTGTTTATTTAACAAGCGGTATAATTAAAAGTTTTTGGTACGTATTCTAATGACAAAGATGAATTAATGATATTAAGAAGAGGATCTATGACCTCTGGAAGCATCTCTTTCAGTAGTTTAGTCGGTATAGGGTCTAACATTCATGTTGTCGATTTAGATGATTTAACGAGTTTAGAAAATTCATCCTCTCCTATAGCAATGAATGAATCGAATTTTTTGTCAGGGAGACTACAACGCACTGTCTGATGCAATACTGTAGTAGACGGTTGCATAGTTATAATTTTCTCGCTGATATTATCAATCATGTAAGTAAAGAAGTTCATAAAGTCATTACTGCTGTGCTGCTTGGAAACTTATGGGCTTGAAGGCTTTTTGTTAGTTTAGCCACTGTTTCAAATAAATACCTAGGGTTTTGTTTATTTTCTTCTAATTTTGTTGAAAAATAAGCAGATCTAACAGTTTTTAAGGCTTCTCTGTATGCAATTGTGCTCTCTTTCCATGAAATGCGAAATACCTCTAGGTTTGTTTTCTTCCAGTTGTGCTCCATTTTTCTGGCTGCTCTCTTAAGGGCCTGAGGGCCAGATGTACTAACGCTTTTGCGCCCACTTCAGGCGTATTTGTTTAGCAAAATGCACATAAAACCATGGCGAGGTATGTAGGAACGGGACGCACCGAGATGAAAGCACAGACTGCCTGTCGCGGGAACTGAAAATGGCAAAATCTTTTCGTGTCATGCATATGCATTCATGGGATGGTCAAGGGGAAAGTTCAGTTGAGTGAAAACGAAATCATTAAGCGTTTCAGATTAAACAGCTACGCAATATTACAGTTACTGGAAGAAATCAAAGATGACATCGAATCTCCGACTCAGCGTTCACATTCCATTCCAGCAGTTGTTAAACTCCTCGCTAGCTACATTACAATTATTGGCATCGGGATCATTTCAAACAGTCATAGCATCAGCAGTGAGAGGAGGCCCATTCAATTGTGCGTATTTTTATGCGCAATTTACGGTATAGTGAGTGGGTACAGCCGCTGATTACCTGATGAACTGCAGGTTTGGTACATAACACGCACACTGGGGTTTCACATCAAGCTCTTTCTGCGTCTTGGCCATGGCGCTATTATTGCTGCATTCGGAAATGTACGTACATCTGGCCCTGAGTGTGCTCGTTGTACCATGGCGTTGGACTATTTTCTTTAATCTTCTTTAAGCGCAAAGGAGCAGTGTGTCTAAAGTGCTGGACAAGAGAGAGTTAAAGGTTTCTGTCGCAATATCGAGTTCTTCTAAGCTATCTGGGATGCTGAGATGATGAAACTGATCAGGAAGATAATTTATAAAGCAGTCTTTAGTTGCAGAAGTGATAGGTCTAACATATTTGTAACACGAAGTCGGCTTTGCAGACTTGGCTATATTACGTTTACACGAGATAATGATCTGAGATGTCATCGCTCTGCTGCAGAATTTCAACTGCATCAACATTGATTCCATGTGATAATATTAGATCTAGAGTATGATTACGACAATGAATGGGTCCTGACACGTGTTGTCTAACTCCAATAGAGTTAAGAATATCTTTAAATGCCAATCCCAATGCATCTTTTCCGTTATCTACATGCATATTAAAATCACCAACAATTAGGACTTTATCTGCAGCCAGCACTAACTCTGATAGAAGGTCAGCAAATTCTTTGATAAAGTCTGTATGGTGCCCTGGTGTACGGTGGCCGAGAGAGCTCAACGCGCTGCAACTGAAGAAAACGCATGCAAATAGAAGAAAACACATGCAAATAGAAAACAACGCGTGCAAATAGAAAAAAAACACATGCAAATAAAATAAAACGCATGCAAATAGAAAAAAACGCATGCAAATAGAAAAAAACGCGTGCAAATAAAAAAAAAAACACCTGCAAATTAAGAAAACATCTTCATCAGTTTCACAACACACGTGTGCTCCAAATACTCACAACACCACCAAATACAAACGCGCTGCAAATAACACAGAGCACAACGAAAATGTTTCCAGGGGAACCAAATAAGTGACGAACCCGGCTGGGACGTGCCGGCATAGATATCCATAAATCTATGCGTGCTGGTGCTTACAGCTTAAAAGTATACTTTATTTATTTGTTTATTTATTTATTTGTTTGTGCAAAACATACAGAGATTACATTTTTTATGACATACAACTTGTATACAATGTACAAAATGTATTAACAATATGTTCAATGTCATCAGAATACAAATGAGAAAAGAACAATGAGCTGGAAACTAAAATAAATAAATAAAAAAGATAAAGAAGAAAAACATGAAGGAAAGATATTTATCTATACATCAGTTACACTGTACAAATTGTTTCATGTTATTATATTTTCATAAAGAAAAGTTTCGTAAGAAATGTTAGGTAATGTAGGGTCCCAAATTTTTAAGTTGAGACACAGATATATAACGCATATTTTAAAAGCTTTTTTTGTAAACTAAAAATAAAAATGTATTTGCATCCGTTATGTTAACAGCATCATATTTCTGTCGTAAGACCAGCTGATGGACGCCGTGCTGCGTTGTCATGGGAACATCCCACATTGTCTTTAGTTGCTCCCTTCATCAAGTGCGTTCCACACGGCTGCCTAACAGCCCACTAGAGCCTTGCTCACTCCAAAAGGGCTCTACATTCTGCCCTTCGAAGGGAGTATGGCATAGGGAAGCTCACGAGCAATAAGCACGTCTCAGCCGGGTTCGTCACTTATTTGGTTCCCCTGGAAACATTTCCGTTGTGGTCTGTGTTATTTGCAGCGCGTTTTCTGTATTTGGTTGTGTTGTGAACTTTTGCAGCGCGTTTCCTTATTTGGAGCACACGTGTGTTGTGAAACTGATGAAGATTTTTTTTTTAATTTGCTGGTGTTTTTTTCTATTTGCACGCGTGTTTTTCTATTTGCATGTGTTTTTTTCTATTTGCATGCGTTTTTTTCTATTTGCACACGTTTTTCTCTATTTGCATGTGTTTGCTTCAGTTGCAGCGCGTTGTTGAGCTGTCTCGGCCACCGTACTGGTGGCCTGTATACAGTAGCCAGCACAAATCTCAAACGTGATTTATCATTTACACTAGATATTGTTACATTAAGCACCAACACTTCAAAATAATTATATTTGAAACTAGACTTCTTAGTAATTCTGAAAATATTAATATAAATTACAGCAACACCTCCCCCTTTGCCTTTCATATGAGGTTCATGTTTATAACTGTAATCTTGGGGGGTGGACTCATTTAAAGTAATGTAATTGTTTGGTTTTAGCAATGTTTCTGTCAAACACAGCACATCTAGGTTATTCATACTTTGCACGTGACGTCACAAGTACTGGTTGGCGGGCAAGAACGTCGTTCTCTGGCAAATGAAACGGTTCGTTGAAGCTGTAGGAATGATGTACCTAACATAGAACAAAGGTTTTAGGTAGATAAAGTCTATCATTCACAAGCACAGTAGCCTACCACGGATATTTTTTAAAGCTATACATTTCTTTCCTTTTTTAATTAGGCTACCATATATGTTTACATAGACAAATCAGATGAACTGCAAGTTATGCGTCCAGCTGGGTTCACTTCAGTGACAGTCATAAATTCCCCTGTCATAGAGACAGGTGACGTGCATTTAGACTGATTTGCTGATGTTATGTTTCATGTCAATGTGTAATCTTAAAGGTGCTCTAAGCGATGTCACACGTTTTTAAGGCCAAAACATTTTGTCACATACAGCAAACATCTCTTCACTATCCGCTGGCTGCCTGTCCCCTGAACACACTGTAAAGAAACGCGATCTCTGTAGACAGCCCAGGCTCCACAAACAGCAACAAAAGCAAACTGCGGCGACCCGCTCCCCGAAACATAACCAACTGTTCTAGCCAATGACCGACATGAAGGACTTGGGGGCGGGGTTTGGGGGGTTAGTGTGCGGATGAGGAGGAGGGAGGGTCTAGCTAGCCTCCGTTTTGTTTGACAATAGTTCGAACGTCAACAAGAAGTGACGTCACCCAGGATCGCTTAGAGAACCTTTAACATAAACGTGCTTACACGTTCGCCAGTAGGTGGCGAGAACGCGTTCATTTGTACGTGATTTGATTTGATATGATATGAGAAGATGAATACATGGAGAATGAATGATACGTTACTGTTGTACTTCGTCTACTTATTACTTACTTACAGTTACTTTGCATGCATACTGTCGTACACTTATTACTATACTACATTACAGCCTAACAGGTTGCTAACAGGATTATATGCATTTCGCTGCCCCAGCTGCTCTTGTCTGTTGTCTGATGCTATGTGGAGTGGATAAGCAGGTATAGGCTACAATGTTTGACATCCTGCTAGCCATATATGATACAATTGGCATAAGTTTTTATTTTTTACTATACTTATCATTCGCCGGCAGGCAGGGTGTACATATTTAGATGAAAACTTCATCACACGATGGAACAGATGTCACTTTGTGTATAGCTGCAAACATTAGCAAACGGACCTTTGCTTTGATTATGAAGATATTCCTGTTTTTCACCTCCCATACGACAGCGTTGTTAACCCATCCACTCTTGAAAAAAAGATAGCTATCTGTACTTTTGTAGGCTTTTTTTGTGTAAGGTGACGGATTCTCTATAAGATATATGTAAATTAGGGGTGCAACGGTACAGATAGCCCACGGTACGGTCCGTACCTCGGTTTTTGGGCCAGGGTCTCGGTTCGGTTTCGGTACATGTTTTGTGCAGAAAGAGACTGCTATTTCATCCCAAAAATATGTTTTATTTTTCTTATGAGCATAAACAGAATGTCACAGTAGGAAGAACATCAATGTGTATGGAATCCCAATGCACCGGTTATCTTTCTGTGTTTCTGTGAAGATGAACGACTTCGAGCCGAATCAGGCCGAACTGGTACGTCTGTACCAGCATGTTTATGATCCTTCTATACACAGAGACATTTGCATTGATGGGCGACCATAAAAGCCTCTCATTTTGTGAATAGGAACACATTTGCAGTAAGCACCCAGTTTGCACTTGTCTAAAGTAATTGGTTACATTTACAAAATAAGCCTACAATAACAGAAGTAAGCCCTGCTGATGAAATTAAGGTTTAAACACTCAGGCTTCAATTGTTTAAATTCACATGCAGTGAAAGTAGGCTACAATAAACCTACTGCATTTATTACTCTTTTATGAATCAGCAATTAATAAACTACTAATAAACGGCAAACTACTTCTTCACTGCTGATTCCTGGTGGTTTAGAGGAGAATTACTCCTCGACAGGTCGCCCCCTGTCGTTTCACAGAATAGCACAACGGCGAGCGCGTCAAGTATAAACGCCTCGTCCGTTTGAAGAGGTGCGCGCGCAGTCAGTGGAGACTCGCGCTCGTGCGGACGCGTCGAGTATAAACAAGGCTTAAAGCAAAAACTAAAAGGATCAGCGCGAACTCAATGGCAAAACCGAAGTCCCGCGGGACACGAGGGTAGATTGTCCCGTGCAGGGCTGACCGAACGGTCCGGGATTTTACCGTGTACCGTTGCATTCCCTAATGTAAATATCTCCAAACTCCAAGTCTGGTAGAGACTTTGCCAGCTTCAAAGCAATGAAAACATCAGCGGGTGCTGTGTATGGATCATACGTTCCGAGTATGTTAATCTTTTCTTGATATCTAATTTTAACATTCGGTGACATATGGTCTAAATAGTTAATTGATTGTAGTATTGGAAATTTGCAAGGCTGCAATTCCCCTGGCTGGCCACTGTTTGTCGCCATTTTGTCAGCGTTTGTTGCCCGCCAGGTATCCATGGTAGTCACGTGACTGTAATCTGTAATAGTCTGTAATCATAT